CCAACTGAGGCTCAGAGAGAACCGGTGACTACCTAAGATTCCTCAGAGCGCAGGAGGCCAGGCCCGGGTTCAGCTGCAGCCCAGCTGGCCCCACGGCCCGAGCCCCTGGCCCTCACACGGGGCCTCTCAGGGTGGGCCTCTTGCCTCTGCTCAGGCCTCAGCTGGACCCCGAGCCCAAGGAGTCCTCTGTGGCTGTGGAGGACAAGGTGAGAGGAGGCCGTGGTTGGGGGGCCCCTAGGCAGGCCTCGGTTGAGCTGGCGTGGTGGGCAGGGAGGGGGGAGCCTCGGCCCAGCACACCCCTGCCCCCCACAGCCCCCACCTTCTCCCCCACACCGAGCAGGGCGTGGATTCCCGTCCAGGTCTCCAAAGCACTGTGGGAGGAGGAGGGGACAGGAGGCGCAGCCCCCCTCCCGCTGCCCGGTGCTCTCACAGCAGCCTGTGCCAGGCAGGAGGGAAGAAGAAAATCCCTGATGGCACAGCCCTGGCCAGGACTACGCTGGGTCTGGACCGGGCTCTGTTAAAATGTCCAGCGGCCCTGAGAGGCCCTTGTGCGTTGGAGGCCATGTGACCAGGTAGAACTGGGATTCCAGCCAGATCTGTGCGACCCACAACCCAGTGGTCACCGGAAATATTAGTGTCCTCAGGGGGTCAGGGGCCAGATGGCAGAAGATGGGGGAGGGGGTCCGTGAGGCCGCGGGAGCCGGCAGGCCAGCTGGGACTCCTGGCCACCTCCCTGCAGCCAGCTCACTCAGGAGCTGAGTGACAGGCCTGGCCCTGAGCCCCCTGTGGTGGTCTTGGGGGTGGGGGTCCTATTGTCCCCTGCCTGGCACTCCACAACCCTGCTGGCCACCTGCTGGCTCATGTCCCAGCCTAGAAGCAGGTGACCATCCCCATCTAACCATGAGGCCCAAGAAGGACAGTGACTCAGGACGGCCCCCAGGGAGGCACAGAGCTGGAGCGGGTCCCCCAGGTCGTGTCCTTGAGGAGGGGACCCCAGTCTGATCCCCAGAGGCCTTCTGGGGGAGCCCATTTCTGTGTGAGGTGTTTCCAGGGCGTCCTTTTCCTGATCCATCTAGTGAGACCCAGGTGGGGGCAGCAGGAAATGAGTGACCAGGGTAGGAGGAAGGTTGGTGGCCGCAGAGGCAGCTTTGAAGAGTGACCTCCGGGGCCGGGCCCAGCTGCTGTGCAGGTGGGGGTGTGTGTGGAGGGTCCTGGTGGCCACTGCAGCCTGTCCACCACCCGTCCCTCCTCTGACAGGACCTAGGGAGGTCTCAGGGTTTGCCTGGAGAGTGAGGGTGCTTTTGAGGTAGGAAGGGGGACAGGGAGAGGAACCAGAGAGGGGCCGGGAGGGAGTGAGGGAGGGGTGCAGGGAGTGGCACCAGCAGCGCAGGGCGGCCACCGCGGGTGCGGTGCCCAGGGAGCTGTTTACAGCCTACAGCATGACTGGTGCTTGGCAAGGACAGGGTGTCCTGTGGGCAGATGGCACGGGACAACCCAGGCTGATGTGTGACCATCCTGAGGAATCTGGGCTGTTCCAGGAGGTCACAGACATGGACACACACACAGCCTCCCTCGGGCCGGGAGGAAGGCCAGGGGCTCCCAGCCTCCCCTCTCCAGCCTGGAGCGGGTGCCGAGCCCTGGCCGCTGCCCGGGCTGAACTCTGCAGACGAGTGGAGCCACGGTACAGTGAGGCCGGGGGCAGGAGGGGCCTGCAGTGGCTCCTGAGCAGAGGGGCCTCTTCTTCTCCTTCTCTCTCTCCTCCTTCAGGGACCCTGTCCTCAAATTCCACTTGCCCTCCAGGCCACCGCTGTCCAAACCGCTTGTCAGCTCCGGCTGCCGCCAAAAAACAGAAACGAGATCGAGACCCACACATGGGGTGGCGCCAACAAGAGAAATTTATTTCTTACAGTTTTGGGGACTGACTGGAGTCCAAGGTCTCAAGGTTCTGACCATGTGGTTTCGGGTGCGGGCTCTCTTCCTGGCCTGCAGACAGCCACCTCCCACTGTCCTCACATGGCTGGGCTCGCTGGCTGGCTGGCTCTTTGGTGGCTCATCTTTTAAGGACACTGACCCTATTAGATAAGGACCCCACTTTTATGAGCTTGTTGGACCTTGATTACTCTTTCATGGCCCCGTCTCCAAATATGGTCACACTGGAGGCGAGGGCTTCGTCATATGAGTTGGGAGGGGGACAGTTAGGTCCACAGTACAGTTCTAGTCAAGATCTCTGCTGAGCTCATGTCACCAGGCCCGAGGTCAGTCACAGACCTGCCTTGCTGGACCTGTGGGCACTGAAAAAGAGCCGTCCACCTTCTCCTTGAAATTTGGCCTGCGCTTGGCTTCTGAGGCTCTGCCCCCAGCCTTAGGCTCCCGCAGAGCTGACCTTGCTCCTCTTGGCCGTCTCCCCCTGCCCGGCCCTCAGCTCTGACCTCTTGGTCCCATCAGGCCCATGGCTGCCCGCTCCCTGTGGCTGACGCTCGGTAGCCACACCTCACCTCCGACTCCTGCGCCAGCCCACCTGGCCAGCTGCCCGCTCCCTCGGGGGCCCCAGGACAGACTCCCGGCTCCTCCTCCCTCCCTAACCAGAAGGGTGACAGCTCCATTTGCCAGAGCTCAGGACAAAGTCCTCACCACCCCCAACTCCTTCATGCCTCAGGTTCTGCATGGGAGAAATCCTTTTGCTCTGTCTTCAGAGCATCAGAAACCCAACCCCTCCCGCCCACTTCCTGGGTGACTGCAGGCGCCTCTGAAGGTCTCCTGGCTTCTGCCCCGTGGTCAGTGGGATAAGTCCCCTCCCCACTTCATCCTGTGGAAATGTCGCCTCCACCTCATGAGGCCAAAGAGGCCTTGCAGCTGGGAAGCGAAGGCGGTCCTGGTGGCAGTGACCCTAGGCTGTCCTGGGGTCAGAGGTAGAAGGTGCGCACTGACGGAAGCAGGAGGAGGCGCGGGCCAGGAGCCAAAGGAGGAGGAAGCTTCCAGAAGCTAGTGAGGAAAAGGATTCTCTCCTGGAGCCTGCAGAAAGCGCAACACGAACAGACCTTGATTTTAGACTTCTGAATCTGTGTGGTTTCAAGCCAGTAAGTTGGTGGAGATTTCTTACAGCAGCCAGAGGAGACGCACACCTTGAACGTGGCCCTTGCAGCCCTGTGGGTCTGGCCCATGGAGCCCCTGGCCTCTGCTCGCTCCTTCAGCCTTTACTACCCACAGTCCCCTCCTGCCCCTGGGCCTTTGCTCCTCCTGTTCCTGCTTCCTGGGGTACCCCTCCCCCACAGATCTACCTGACTCACTGGGGCCACATGCCACCTCTAGATGGAGGCTCCCCTAACCTGAGTGGCAGCCGGGCCACTCCCTGTGCCCTCACCTTGCTTGTCTTTCCCCCGCATGTTATCCCCATGTGGGAGGGGTCTGTCCCGCAGCGCGGTCCCCACAGTGTCCAGAGCGCTGTGTGCGTAGTAGAAGGCTGTTGGACGAGGGACTGAGTGAACACGGGGGTGAGTTTTGCAGAGGGGACCGTGACCTGGGAAGGGGACTGGCTGGCTGGGGTCGGGTCAGCGCTGCTCCTAGAGAGGCCCGTCTCCCATCCCAACACCCCGGGGACTGCAAGGTCCAGGGTCTCAGTCCCATTTTCCCGGGTGACTCCTCAGGGAGGCCACTTGTCCTCTGGGCTTCTGCTTCTCGTCAGTGCATGGATGGCTGCGTGAATGAGCGGTGGCCTTAGCTGGGGAGGCCTGGCAGGCCAGGGGACCAGGCGAGGACAGGATGGGAGGAAGCCGGGTGAGAGGCAGACAGGGCCTCTGGAACACCCAGTCTGGCTCCCAGCAAGAGCCTGGGGCTGACAGGGAAGGGGACTCGGCCCAGCCCTGCGAGGGCAGGAACAGGGAGGGGTGGAGACGCTGGGCCGAGGTGCTGGTGGGCATGAGGGTGGCGAATGGAGCTTTGAGATGTGGTGTGGGTAGAACAGAGGACTTCCTGAGAAGTGGAACTCAGGGTGGATTAAGGCAGGACCCAGGGGTTTGGGAGAGTCGAGGACGGGGAGTTCGGGGACAGTACTTCCCGGCATTTCTCAGACACCTTCTACAGGTGAGCGAAAGAGCGAGCCCAGGTGCCTGGAAAGATCTTGGGCTCCAGGGCCACAGTGGTGACCCTGGGCCCAGGGTCTATCTCATTTTCTCTGAGTTGGCACTATTCTCAGGCAGCACCCTGCCCCCATGCCAAATGGCCCCCGGCAGCCCCCAGATGGTATCTCTTAGAACACCAAATCTAGCAGAGAGAGGCCTTTCCCCCATAACTAAAGTCCGGGGGGGTCTTTTACTGACCTTGCCCAAACCTGCAGCAGTCACTGCAACTGGAGGCTATCCAAGCCAGGCCCTGTCCATCCCTGAGCCCTGCGGGTGGTTCTTCTGCGGGAGTCGGGCATTGGAGGGAAGGGCGCCAGGCGGGCTGATGGGCACAGATGCCAAGGCAAAGGCCTGGCCTGCAGGAGGCAGGAAGGCTGCTGCAGGCCCAGCCTGACCTCTGAGGTTGAAGTCCAGGGGGGAAGAGCGAGAGCTTTCCTTGTAGCGCCCAATCCACTGCAGGATGCTGCCTGGCCAAGCCTGGGTCACGGGCTCCAGTCTCAACCCGCTTCCAGGCAACATGGGGCGAGTTGGGAAGGGTGAATTCCAAACCAAAAGCATCTGTTCCAAGAGGAGGTCTGCATACTGAGGACACAGGAGACTGTACTGAGAGGACCCTCTGACTACAAGTGAGGAGAGAGGCTTGGCTGGCCTCTGGCAGGGAGCAACAGAACCAGGCCCAGGCCGGACTCGGGGTGTGTCTCAGAGGCTGCTGTCTCAGGACCATCCCCAGGTAGCAGCCTCCCCTGCTGCCTGCCTCCTGATGCCCGGGGGAGGGGGACGTGCCCAAAGCAGGCCTCAGGCACAGACGACTCTCCACCCCAGGAACTAAGTCACAACCCGACCTCCAGTCTAACAGCTTTTATGAAAGACATGAGCCATGGGTCCATTTAAAAATCATTTTTTTTTATTAACATCATCTTCCCATTTAGCCAAGTGTCTGCCATGTATAAGGAATGTCGGTAAATATTCCATTTGAAGCTTCTTTGTACATATTTCCATCGATAAATAAACTCTGAATTCACATAAAAAAGTTAAACTTAAATAACTCATATTTCCTTCTCTTGTAACAGGCATATATTGGTAAAATATAAATATTCTTGGACTCAGGCTTTGTTCTAAGTGAGGAGAACAGTAATTCTTCACAGGGTACAATTATTGACAATAAACCGAGAAACCGCCAGCTGGTGTCCTGGCGTGGATGGGTGCTGAGGTGGGAACAGAGGATTCACATTTGGTTTCTGGGCTGCGGTGGCCGAGCAGAGGACAGACAGTTAGTTGTTTTCTTTACGGCTCTGATAAAAATAATCTGTTCTGCCGCTGAGTTTCACCTTTGAATAAACTCTTCTACATTTGCTGATTAACTCCATAATCATTTCACTTAAAACTCAGATGTCAGCTAACCAGATATGGCACATAATCCCTGCGAACCCCGCCAGAAGGTTCAGAGACTGTCACCAAGCTGGCACAACAGCAGAGGAACGCACAAAGAGCGAGCGGTGATGGGGTAGTTGGTGAGCTCGCTGTGGTCAGTGGAACATCCTCCGGGGCCTCGGAGCGGCAGAGCTACCCCCGGGCCACAGGGTGCTCCCCGGGCCCAGGCAGAGCGTCCTTGGCGTGCGAGGCAGCTCAGTGAGGCAGGGCCTGCTCAGAGCACGCGGGGGATGATGGTGAAGGGCACGGCCGGGCTGCTGGCCTCCAGCTCCAGGGCCGTCAGGAAGCACTCGGTGGCCGCAGCATCGTTGCCCTGAGCTTGGAGGACCTCGCCCAGCCCGTTCCACACCTCGTGGGCTGTCGAGTTCACCTGCACCGCGTCCCGGAGGATCTTCTCTGCCAGGCTGTAGCGGCCCAGCTGGTGAAGGATCAGCGCCTGCCGGAGGCAGAGAGACACACAGACAGACAGTCAGACAGGTCAGGCAGCTCCGGGCACCTATTTGTTCCTTCCGTTTTCAGTAGTTCACGGAGGTGGGAATGTCACTCCAGTCGGCTGTGAACACAGTAACTTCTCAAGGAATCCCTGTCTCAGGGCAATAGTCAAAGCAGTGGCTTGGAGCCCGTGGAGCTGCTGGAGTTTAGCCATCTTTGACCAAAGAGGCAGCTTCCTGTGGTTCATCTGCAAACTACAACCAGGAACGCACCAACTGCAAAGGCACTCTCTGTGCCGCCTCAGGGTGCCTACGGGTCACGTCCCAGCACCCACCAGCCTGATGGGAGGCTATCTTCACCTTTTGGGCTTTGACCTAAAGAAATGTCATTGGGGCCACGGCTGTCAGGTGATGATGACACACTTCTTAAAGCTATTCACAGCCTCTTGCCCTAACCAAGCCCTTGGGTTCCATGTCCCCAGCTTGCCCCATCTGGGCCCTGCACAGCTGTGGCCCTACACAATTCCAGTTAGGGTGTGTTTGTATGGGCCCCAGAACATCTGGTCACACCGTCCCCCCTCGGCCTGTCCAGAGCAGTGCATTCGTACACTTCCACCCAAGGGCTACGCTGTGGGGAGGGAGCTGAGGTCAGAGCAGCCTCTTCGCTGTTAGACCTCTCATGGCCACGAACACCTGCCCAGAACGCGCTCTGTCTTCTTTTAGATCAGTGGATTTCAAGTCTTTTTAATAGTTCTGGGAAAATTTGGCAAAATGAAATCTCACTGAGAAAACACATAGTTTTGTGTATAAACAGACACAGCTGAACTGTTCCAGGTGAAGGGCAAAGGGCAGGGAGCCCCGTGTCCCCCAGGGCTCCCACAGTGGCCCTTGATGGCCATTTGAAGATTCTCCCTTTGGGCCAAATTTCTCCAAAGTGGCCATTACTGGGTGAAAGGTCAGACTCTTTCTAGGGTTCTCCAAATACGCGTGGCTCTGTGGGAAGGCTCGCCTCCCAGCCAGACTCTGTGGTGGCCTGCTCCTTTCAGTGTGGCTCTTCTTTGTACTAATGTCACCAATGCAACACCTGCTCCTGTTGAAATCTACGTTTCTTTAACAACCATCGAGATTTGCTTTCCCAGGCCTCCTATGAGAGCCTTCTATAAGACTCCCCTTCACTCAGTTGCATAACTTTCTAGCCTCTGATGTCCCGCAGCCCCGGGGATGGAACCCAGGGCCTCACGCCTGCCAGGCAAGCTCTGTACTACTGAGTTTTATTCCCGGTCCTTTTTAAACTTGGCATCCTGTGGCCTCAGCTTCCCGAGGAGCTGAGATTACAGGAGGGTATCATTACATGCCTGATTTTGAGCTTTCTAGAATCCAAGGTATTTTAAATCAAACATTGATGATTGAGGACTTTTTTAGGGTCACTTCAAAGCTTAGTAAGTTTTCCTTTGAAAGATCTGACATGTGATCAGACTATTTTTTAAACATTTATTTTTTAGTTGTAGTTGGACATAATACCTTTATTTTATTTTTATGACATTTTATTTTATGTGCTGAGGATCGAACCCAGTGCCTCACACATGCTAGGTGAGCTCTACCCCTGAGCCACAACCCAGCCTTGATTCTGAAACGCTCTGGCAGAAGATATGCATTTCTGCCCCTGGACTGAGCTCCACCAGGCCCTTCTGCCCACCCGTCACACTGGCAGTACTGCCTCTGCCACCCAGTGAGTTGCGACAGGAAATGGGGCCATGCTCCCGTCACTCTGAACCATGTTCTCGGAGGATCTGAGTCAATCCTCTTGCCTCTTATATATTTCCTGACTGCCTTGTCCTGTACCACTCCAGGTGAATGCTGAAACCCCTTTGTTCCTTCCTTTGGGATCACACTGGTCTTGCCTGGCATTTGGGTGTGTGGACACCCGACACCTTCCAGGCTAGTCTTTCCACCAGGAATGTGACATGGCTGCTGGTCCTTCAACGTCAACCTAGACCTCCCTCTAAGTTTGGCCCTTCTCTTAGGTGGGGCATGCAAGTCCCCACAAGGCCAGTCCAGACTGCTCTCCAGCCTGGGCTTCGCCATCCGTCTCTTGGAAGCAGGATGGCCGGTGCACTGACATGAACAAGGTGCCTGCCAGCCCCAGGCTACGCCCGAGCCACAGGCCACGTGGCACGTGTGCAGGGGCAGGTGGGCTTGCCCTGGAAACACATGTCTGAGACAAGCTCTGTGTGGTAGTAGGGCACCTCCAGTGGGCAGCGTCCAGGCCCAGAGGGCTCTTTGGGCTGACTTCCCACCAGAGCCAAGAAAAGCAACCTGACTTCCAAGAGTCACCCAGACCTAAGACCAGCTGGGAGCTCGTGGCCAGTGGGATGCCAGCCAAGGGGACACACATCCCCAGGGCAGTGTGAGCCCGAGGGTGGTCCTCTACTCAGAGGTGGAGGAGTGGGCCACAGGTCTAAGAAGAAGAGAGTTCAGGAAGCTGCTCGAGGGAAAGTGGAGGAGGAAGACGCAGAAGGAGGGGGAGGAGAAGGAGCAGGAGCCAGACCCTGCAGAGGACACGTCCCAGTCTGCACAGGGTTTCCTCCAGCCCTCCCCATCCATCTTAGAGGACAAGGGAACTGGCGCAAGAATAGGCAGATGCTCAGCTTGGGCTGGGCTTTGTATCAGGAGGAGAACCCACACGGCCACAGTCTTGACAGCCGATGTTTCCCCAGTGTTGGTGACACATTGAGCACTATCCTAAGTGCATTTGATTCCCAGGGGACCCAAAGCCATTTCACATGGGCACGGCTAGGACCCGTGTGCAGCAGGATGCGAGGGCTGCTCCCACTGCCTCGAGAGCCCAGTGGTAGCCCCTGGCCTGGGCCCCCAGTGCCCCAACCCCTACTTTGCAGGTAGGCTCCTGCAGAACCTGCTTCTCCAAACTCCTAGGGCCTGCCTGGGTCCTCTGTGTGGAGTGGCAAATAATCCTGCCATTGTCCAAGATGGGGGTCTCCCTGCCCTGAGGGGCAGCCAGACATGACAGGAGATCACCTGCCCAGGATGCATTCAGCAAGACTCCTGCTCCTGCTGCTTCCTTCTAGGGGAGGGCCCCAGCCTCGCCTCGCCTAGAACATTCCAGTGTAGCCCAAGGAGATGGAAGCAGGTGGGGACTCGTACAGTGGGGCTGAGCAGCAGAGTGAGGGCTAAGATAGGGGTTCGCATCCCCCAGGGGGTTCCACGGGCTCTCCTGCCAGGAGGCCCCCTGTATGCTTCTGGCAAGAGTGACGGGGACCTCGGCATGGTGTAAGACAGAGGTGTCCTTGCTCACTTGGCTGCACTCGGTGTGGCCAGACCCTGCTGCTGTCTCCCTCTGTGGGAAACCCCTCGCTGTCAGGCACCATGTGGGCACCTGACTTGGCTCCTCTCCTATTGCCTTAAGTGCAAGGAGGCAGCATTCAGAGGCCATGTTCTTGCCCAAGGTCCCTGGGCCAATGGACAGTCTGCCCACCAGACTGGGCTGCCCTTAGGCCTTGTGAAGAGAGGCTAAGGTCTCTCTGCAGGTTCTCAGGCCGCATCTGTGTCAGTCAGGTTTTCATTGCTGAGACCAAAATACCTGAACAGAACAACTTAGAGCAGAAGAGCTTGTTTCGAGCTCAGTGTCAGAGGTCCGGGCTGACTTCATTATTCTGGGCCCCGAGGAGGGGCCGAACATGGCAGAAAGGGGTGGGGGAAGAAGGGATGATCAGATCATGGCAACCAGGAAGCAGAGACAGAGGGGGAGGAGCCAGGGGCGGAATGTATAATCCCCAAAGGCAGGCGTCCAGTGACCCACTTCCTCCAGCCAGGCCCCCCTGCCTACAGTTACCACCCAGTGATCCATTCAGTGATTAATCCACCAAATGGACCAACCCTCTCATTAGGTCACGGCTCTCATGATCTGATCCTTTCATCTCCCGCACGAACACAGGGGCTTTTGGGGGACATGTCTATCCAAACCCTAGCAACACCCTGGTGCCCTCAGGCAATAACCCAGTTGCATCCGGGCAACAGCCAAGGGCAGCAGCGCTCTCCCCTTTCATTTCTCTGACCACTAATGGTCCATTTGATTGCTCCTCACGACTGGGAAATGGCTCCTCTGGAGGCACCGCTTTTCTCTGGCTTAGGCCTGCATCCTGATGTTCACTCTTGACCAGGAGGGCTCCTTGCCTCTCTCTAGTGGCTCAAAGGCTGGCTGAAATCTTAAGGTTTGGGGTGGCTGCAGGTGCCACAGGACTCGGGTGTCCTGTTAGGCAGAAAGTGGACCTGCCAGGTGTGGAGGCCCGAGGGTGCTGCTCTCGGCAGCTGCGACTGTCTCTACCCTGCTGGGGTGGGGCAGAGTCTAGCAGCCCCTGACTGTGGGTGCTCCAGGGTACAGGGCAGGGGCATGTCTACCCACCCTCCAAATTCCCACCGAGCACCAGCCCAGTGGACTCATTGGACCATCAGCCTTGGCCCTGGGCCTCTGAACTTCTGCGGCTCTTCAGCCTCCAGAGACCTGACTGTTCCTCAGGGAGGAGCAGGCTGCCATTCCTGATGCCTGGAGGTTTTCCAAGCAATCTGTTTAGCAGGATTAATTCCCAAAGCTGGAGCCGCTCAGGGAGGCAGCACAGACCTGCTGGGGCAGCTTGGCACAGGAACGAAAAACAGGCCTCTCCCCAGTGCCGCAGGAGCAGCGTGGAGATCAGTCACTCCGCGGGATCAAGCAGGGCAGATGCCACCTGGGGTCTGAGCTGTTGCTCGGGGCCAGTGTTGTAAGAAAATTGGCCAGAGGAGGACTGGGACCTAGATGTGTCAGAAGTGACATGCCACCCACATCCCCATGCAGCCAACAGGCCTTCTTGCCCTGCCCCAGCCCGACTCCTCCACTGGAGCGTGGATATCCTTGCTGAACGCACACGCCCTGGCTCCTCTCGTCTCCAAAGACCAGGGGCCTCCCTCTGAGGCTGACTGAACTCCTCTCTTTGCCAGTGCGACCCGACCT